TGAAGAATCGTGTGTAACTAAAAAATAGGAAAATGATTTGAATTTATGTATAAAATATTTTATTGCATAAATGTGTAATTGAAAATGAGAGTGCAGAAAAAAGAATTTTGAATCAAAGGAATTCAAATAGGGAGGGTTCTTTTTTGCTTAAAACTTGGAAGATTTCTTGATAGTTCAATTGTTTGTACATTCGAAGCAACAAGTTATCAGTTCAAAGTAAATTAAAAGGATGAAGCCTACCAAACCCTATTCAATTCAAGGTTAAGCTTGTTCTCTTGGCAAACCTATAATGCACCTATTAACAATAGCAAGCGAAATACAACAAAATATGTACGTCCAGAAAAGATTCATTAGCAAAAATGGGCAAAAGTTCGCTCACCCACCCATCATTATTACATAGTTATATATAAATATGCGGAGAGTATGACTATTACGCCTTGCGTTCCAAGCTCGGTTCAGTCTCATTCCTACGTTTATGCTCTTCAAACTTGTCAATAGCTACCTGAAGTTCATCAGTACCACCAACAGCCCTCATAGTGTAGAAATAGACCCCAAAGACAAATGCTGTCAAACCTCCAGCAACCACAACATTCTTGGTCTTGGGTGCAAGCCCAAAATATCCTGAAAAAGGCCCAGCCATCTGACAAGACAACTCAAATCCTTCTGTTATGCCTACAAGAATGCAAATTAGACAAGAATTTGAACCTTGAGAATCAGTGATTAGCAATGAGCTGATCATTGTCAACCAAATAACATTTGTTTATTTTTAAGGACAATATACAACCAGTTGGTTAGAGACAAGCCCAAACAACCTTTAGGAGAAATGTCCAAATACAATTCTTACAAAAATGACAGATGCAACAAGCTAAGGATATATACATATAGCTCGAAAGTGCAAGAGTTTGATCATTCTATGACTCTACATTTCTCAAACTTCGCGCTAAAAAATCCTAGGATGATACTATCTGACAAAATTTCACCTCAAAACCATCTAAAATACTATGTGCACAATCTCATGGCCCTTGGTTAAATAAATTATAAACATAATGATCGGAAATGGTGGAGAATAGTATTTATTTTAATATGCTAAATTTAGAGTTTTAGATCTATTCTTCCTTCCATGGCTTATGCATTAGATTAGAAGACGATGACCAGTTTTATTCAACACAGCCAGATTATTACACCTTGCGCATACAATGAAGAATTTACCACTGGAAGAGTAGACTCAAAAGGAGGTAACTAATTTTCTATTATATACATCCAATTAAGATTATAACACTACATTAAGGAGGGCCAGTCTCATTTACATGAATATCTTCAGGAAATGTTATATTTACATAAAAAAAAATACTCTATAAAATGATGATTATTCTGAATTGTTTATTTTTCGGACAATATACAAACAGTCGGTTAGATTCAATCCCAAACGAGCACTAGGAAGAATGTCCAAGTACAATTCTTACAAATATGACAGATGCAACCAGCTAAAGAAAATTACATAGAGCTCAAAAATAAGAGAGTTTATTATTCTATGGTTGTACATTTCTCAAACTTGGCGCTTACAAGTCCTAGGATGATACTATCTAACAAAGTTTCACCTAAAAACCATCAAAAGTACCATGTGCACAATCTCATGGCCCCTTCTCAGTTTCATAAATTAAAAGCATAATTACATATAGGTCAAAAATGGTGGAGAATAGTATTTGTTCTAATATGCTAAATTAAGGGTTTAAGATCTATTCTTCCCTCCATGGCTTATGCATTAGATTAGATGAAAACGCCAAGTTTTACTAAACACAGCCAGATTATTAAACCTAGTCCATACAACAAAGAATTTACCACTGCAAGAGTAGACTCAAAAGGAGGTAACTAATTTTTTATTATTATCCATCCAATTAAGATAATAACACTACATTAAGGAGGATCAGTTGCAAATTACATGAATATCTTCAGGAAATGTTATATTTACATAAAAAATACTCTAGAACAGGATGGTTATTCTGAATTGAACATGAATCATACGGATATAACGTAATGAAAAAATAACATTATGATTCCTCGCTAAGAAATGTATGTAATTGAATGTTTCATTTCCCATAAGTAAATTTCTATGAGCTTTAGCGTAGAATATTGGTGCAATCAACCAGAAACAAGAAAAACAGTTAAATAATAATAATTAAAAGGCTAATACTTCCTCTAATCGCTAAGAAACATACAAGAAAATCCATTCAAAAGAAGAATATTTAGGTAGATTAGAATTTGAACCTCAAGTGTGATGGAATCGAGTTGAAGCCCTAGATTTGCTTCTCTGGAAGAGTTCGCATTTTGAAATAGGATTAGTACGAGCTTTATAGTAGTCAATTTAGGGTGGGCCGGATTTGTAATGTCAGCTTCTATATTTATTGGATTTTATTTTTTATATCCCGCTCGATAAAGATTAAAATTTAAATTTTGATATAAATCAAAATTAATAATTAATTTTAATCACGTAATTTTAAAGCTTATAAGTTTTAAATAACATAATACTTGACCTTTTATCAAAATATACTAAAAAAAACCCCCCCCCACCCACCCCCCAAAAAACTAAATAGGGACGTTTCAATCACATATTGGGTTAAATTCATCAATAGTCGCCCATTTTTATATTTAGCCCCTGTTTGATTAACATTAAATTAAATTACATTACATTCCATTTTTCTCTCTCCTATTTTCAACCATACAATCTTCTATAAAATAATATTACACGTAAATCGAAAACTTTACCTTCTTTTTCAACCACTCATTTTTCTAAAAAATACTATTCCCCCCATTACCATTTTCAGGTAATGGGGGCCAAACAGGGGCTTAGTATCATCATAGTCATCTAATTTGATTTTATTTCGCCATAGTCATTCAACTTTATACTTAGTGTCATCATGACCACCCAATTTTATGGAACGTTTCATTATAATCACCTACTTCTTTTTACCATTTTCACTAATTTTAAACGGCATAAAACGGTAACTTTGCATTATATTTATAAAATAAATTTTAAAAAATAAAGAATGGCATGAGAAGTAACAGCAATGCTGAGAGTGTAAAGGACAACCTCATGAAAATCTGAAGAACATAAAGATTGAAGGATTTCAAAGTAAAATATTCCATTGTGGAATAGAAATATGGGAATATATAAAGGCATTGGTGGCCTTCGGATGATATTTGATAAACTGATCAAGATCGAATTTAAAAAATTGCAACAAAAGATAGAAATCCCAATGCTCGGCCACCTACCACTCCTCAAATATATAAAGTTAAATGGTCTGACTAACGTAAGATCGATAGGATCGTCATTCTATGGTAAGAGTGATTGCATCTAAACTAGCAGCAATGGTTTTGAAAAAACCTACCACTCAAGTCTCACAATAGAACATATGTTGAACCCAACATAGTGGCAGAAGCAATAACAAACTACACTCTTTTTTCATAATGTCTATGTGATTAATTCTTGAAAAGACGTTGCTTTTATGGACAATTCACTCTTTACCTAAAAAAGGTTGAACCCAAATCTTGAGAGCTCCCACCGTCCCGTCCCTAGAGCTTTGTGGGGGAAGTAAATCGAGGGATGTGTCCCAACGGGCCAAGGAACAAAAGTTGTCTGTACACTACGCCTACAAGAAATCCAATTCCATATCTCAAGAATTAAACCCTCAAACTGCGGCTATCAGCAAGACGTGAGATAACCTCACTCCTATCCTTTGCACCACTAAATTATGCCCCAAGGGGCCAATCCACTCTTTACCTCATATTTCTTGTGGATGATGATTTGTATTCAGATTTCTAATGCTTTCTTGGTGGAATTTATGTTTATGAGGTTCTTGATGATGTTCTCAAGTTTCAAGTTTTCCATCGCTTTCTTGTCTAAACATCGTACACAGTCATTGAGATAATTTTTCATGAATAATACTACATAAACAGTTAAATAATGGTTTACAAACAAATAAGGTATCAAAAAGAGAGGGAGGAATGCCCTTTTTTTCTGTCGAATAAATTTTAACCTAATTATATTTCACCACATCATGTATATGTAAATCAATATTATGTACGTGGAGCACAACCATATTTTCATCATACTCTATTTTGCTTGCTTAGCCATACGTACAAACGGTCAACAATTACCCTGGGCCAAATCTTATACATAATAATTAAGAAGCATTATATACATCATAGAAATTTCAAATGGGTACCAAACAAAAATAGGTTGACAATTCATGATTTCCAATGTGTAATCTAGATTTAAAAAATTTGTCAAAGAAACAAAGTTTTGTCCTCAATGAATTACATTAAACCCATAACTCAACAACTCTCTCTTCTAATCGTTCCGCAACTCTATACCCTCTTTAAGAAAACCAAATATGAAATGTCAAGCAATAACCCGAGTAAGAGACGATGGATGATTACAAATCATGGGACAAACAAAAATCCGGCTTTCGCCATAAGTACTCACACCATGTAGTACAGCGATGATAAACAAATCATGATATCAGTGAGAACAAGTCCTACTACATCAAAAACAAATTTTGGAGCAAATAATCCCCATACCTGCAAGGGAATTTGAAATATTTGTGTCAACAGATTCATTCAAAATTTCAAATGCATGTAAATCTCAGCAAATACGAGTATTTACCATCAAATGCCGCCTTTGTATTGTGACGCATAATATAGTAAATGTGACCGATACAGCTGTAATGAGACCATACATCAAATAAACCTGAAACATAACGGTATCTGTAATTACTGCTCGGAATCCATTGAAATTATAAATGAAATTTTCCAGCAAGAAATTAACCTGACATAGTCGCATGGAAAATAATCGCTTGGTCTGCCTTGGGGGACAACAGCATGCGACAAGAAATGGAAGTCCAAATATAGGAAAAATGTGAGAAAAACCAAATGTATCAATTGTAAGAAGGATGGCTTGGCGAATGAGGTTGAATTCATCAAACCTGAAATACATAAAACAATATGTTCATATGCACTCCAGAAAAAAGGGAACAAGGAATTGGCAAATGTACAATTAAACAAGGCCTTCCAATTCAAACTGGGGAAAAATCATTAATGAAATATATGCGCTCACCCAACAAATGCAGCAGCATATCTAAGGCCATCAAAAGCACACCTGCGTGAAGTTATTGTTAAAGTGAAACCAGCATGACCTCAAAGGTAAAAGGATGGGAAAAAAGATGGAAGAAGAAAACACTTGCAGCCAAGTCTTAATTTGGTAATGAAATGAGATATTCATAACTGGATATCAGAATCAGCATGCAGCAGAGGCAAAGCATCTTACCAGTGACCTGTACCGAAAAACATACACACAGCAAGAAGGCTCCATTGTGTTACAGGAAGTGCATAAAAAAGTGAAGATCCAGAATATTCGTTCTCAGTGTTACGTTCCAATCTCATCAACCTAATTATGCACCAACCTATAAAGAGGAAATTCAAATATAACTGCAAGTTAACTATTAAAGTTGGCTCAACTTAATTATAAATATTGAAAAGTTACAATTGACGGCAAGCACCTCCAATTAACAATGCCAAGACAGCCAAGGGACCTTGTTTTCCAGATATAACTATGATTGTGGAACTCCATGCAGATAACATGGCCAATACTTTGAAAATTGTACTTCCTTCCAAATTCACAGTCGTCTCTCTAACCAAAAGTTGAACTATGGCCAATATCAATACCTGGAAAACTCCAACAGCATAGATGATTCGAGGAATAAGGTTAACCATTATTACACTTGGCACCATAGGGAGGTTCAATAGGTTATCATTGCAGGCCCAATATATGGCTATCAGCATGAAATTAGATAAGCTTCCTACAATAACATACTTCAAGATTCCGTGACCGGAGCAGCAAACAATACTCTTGTAAAGTAGATATGCCACAATCATAAGAGCTAATATCGGCATAAACTGAGTTATTGACATCCAGAACTGAGAGTCCCCATTGATTCCGAGTGTTCTTGAAGGATCCATCTTCAAGAATAAAGAACTGACAGCTTGCTTTAATTGCCCAAGTTCAATACTAATTCTTAGGAAAGGAACCAAAAAAACTAATGCAAGTGCCTGCAGATCCAACATAGAAACAGTCATGAACCACAATCTACTTCCTTCCAGAATTTCCACAAAAATAAAACATGTTAGAAAAAAAACAACAGATCATGTATTTGAAGAAAAATGATATATATTTTGACAGTTTCAATTTCAAAAGTATAACCACGATAACACTTGAGATACCTACTTCAAGTAACATCATCTTCTTCATTATTGCACAACGTAGTTGAAGCATTGCAGTCGTGGCCAAAAGAAAACTAGCCACTCTGCCTTCTTCCACTGCATCTCGAGAATATATCAAACCGGGAAAGAAGTCAGATAAAAGATAATACTAGAGAAATATGACCCTGAAAATACTATATAGGCACAGGACTTACGAATATAACTATTTGAAAGAAAACTGCAAGCACGAATCAAGACTGCAATATAAGCAAAAATCATCCCAAAGGAATTCCCAGAATCGCCACTGGAAGGAGAATGAAGTCCACATAGGTTATCCAACCTCTTGATGCTAGAAGCATGCAGAAAAAGTGAAAACAACATAACACAGAAACCTATTCCCATTAACTTCAGATTAAACTCAGTCCAGTTCGACCGGGCCAGCGAGGCAACACTTGCCAAAAATGCAGAATATGCTTCAATTTGCCTTTTGATAGCAGGTAACAAGGTAGAAGAGCTTTCTTTTTCATGTAGTGCTGAACTCTCTGGAGTGAGTGACCAAAACTCTTGAGCCTGAGCATACAGCTCTGATACATGCAGCAAATCTTTCTCCGAGAAACCAATTAGCGACAAAGATGAATAGACATCAATGTATTTCTTCACCTACATAAGCAAACCCGAGTCTAAAATAGAGGTTGTAGTATAAAACTTAAAATATAGTACCAACTGGACAAGAATGAAGTCTCCAGGTTTTTCTACTGAACCTTATTAATTACTAGAGTCAAACTAAGAATTATATTAATGCAACAACCAATCAAATGATACGAGCTTCAAGAGTGCACATCTATCCTTTTGCTCACAATGAGTGGAAAAATTAATTTTGAGTACTACTTTCTTTTATGAAAATTTAATTTAAATAAATAAATGTAACCCCCATCTAAGAGCTTAAACTTTTAGATAGTATCAACGCAAGTAGAGGTCATCAATTCAAATCTCGCTACCACCTCTTCAGATATTATGCTCATGTTGGGGCTTAGATGAAAAATTAATCTGCATATAAAGGGATATGGTGAAAACTAGATTTTAAATAAATATTTATCCTCTCTAGTAGCTTATGCTT